CCTAGATGTAATTTGTGTGAATGAAAAAGAACACATATTACATTTGTTTACATCTGTTTTTCTAAGCAACCAGAATGTCTTCTTTCATTTAAGTAAATTGCCATAAGCTATGCTTCTTTCTGAATTTTTGATTTGATGTAGGCTCTTGTTTTGTACTTATTTTCACAAGATTGAGACAGTTATATCAAAAATATGGGGGAAAAAAAAAGACAAATTAGAAGGATGAATTGTTGGATGTTGAATTTGATATTTATGCATTTGTGGTTAAAAACTGGGACAAATAGGGGATGAGTTGCACAATTTGGAAATTAGTTTTCTCAGTGTGGGTTATTTGCTCATCTTTTGATCAGCCCACTTAGTAAAACATAAAATCCAGGGTTTTTTTTCTTTCAATCCAATGAAATAATTTGTTTTGTCACAGTACAATCACACGTGCATGATACAAATGAGATTGTATGTAACAAACACAAGGTGGTGAATGGTTGGGAAAAGGAATAAAAATGTTTTTCTAAATATTTTACAAATGCATTCCATACAATAGTCAGTTGCAGACCAGACTACTGGGTTAACTTTAACCCCATACTATACAGTGCTGTGGTCATATAGATGCACAGATAATGATCGTAAAAGTCCAAAGAACAACTAAGAGATCCAGTAAATCGTTGAAAACCATTTTAAAGTATTGCAAGAGGCAAAGCATAAAGGAATTGGAAGTTGTTGAAACTTTTGTACAGTACAATTTAGAAGCAAACATAAATATCAAACTGTGACTGTGTGTTTTTGTAAAAATTGTGCCTGAAATGTGAAGGAAGACGTAAAATAAGAAAGTCAAAGAGAGGGAAGCCTAGGAAGTATGTATGCGCCTTCTGGAGGGATAAAGAGGGGGGGGGAAATCATGCGTCACTCTAGCGCGAGCTGCCCGTGTTCCCTTTAAAATAGTTTTATGTGCCACTCCCACTCCATGATTCCCACTCAGCTGTTACTGTAAATCGCTCCCAGTTCCCACATGGTGCTATCCATTCACAAATCCGCGCAGGAAGACTCGATTGTTGCCATGAATCGAATTGATCACCTCGTCCGTCACCTGTGAGCAACTTGTTGCGCAGCTGCTATTTCCTCTGTGGTCCATCGCCGCAGCCAGACAGCCGCTGCTTCTCTACGACAGAAACACTGGAGCTGCTGATCTGCGTCTCAGCGTCCGGGGGTATTTTCTGGCTCTCAGGGAGGACAGCTGGATGACTTTGTGTGAGCGACCGACTTTCTTTATTGGAGTTAGAGAGATGCAGCCGAACGCCGCGGCCTTGCGGGATCTCCCTCACCTTCCTGTTTGGGTTTTTCATTAAGTAGGCCTACAACAAGTCTGAATTCAACGAGCCTCATTAATATGAGAAGAGGGGCAGGGGATGCGAGTCATGAGCTGGACGCGTCCTTTCCACGGACTGGACTGGAGCCACAGCCTCTTCTATCTGACTTTACTACTGTGGACCAGGCGCATGAACGGACTGGCTGATTTTTCAAGTAAGATGATGATGATGATGACGATGATGACGGAGATGCAATAAAAGGAGGGGAAAGCTTACAACAGAAACTATTTTCTCACAAAAAATGTCACCAGGTCGCTCTGAAGTTTTCCATTTAACTTGCATAAAATGATGTAAAAATGAAATCTTCTTTTGGTGTTTTTTGAATAATGGTGAAAAGACAAGAATTGATATTAATTCAGGTAAGGAATCTGTAGTGGATTTAACATTTGTTTCCAGTTGTTTAGCTCCATTATGTGATTGGCAAGTTGAAAATAAATCCTTTGGTAGTGATCATTACATTATAGTCAGTAAAATAAGGATGGGTCAGGTGCAGAATCTTGAAATGTTAGGAGGGAAGTGGATATTTAGGAAAGCAAATTGGGAAAAATTTAATAACTTATGTGAGAGTAAGATATCAAATATAAAAAATGATTTGAGTGTAGAAAATATGAGTCGTGAGATTAGTCAGGGTATATTAGAAGCTGCTGAAAGGTCTATTCCAAAAACATCAGGGAAGAATAGGAGGAAATTAGTTCCATGGTGGAATGAAGAGTGTAGAACAGTGGTCAAAGAAAGAAATAAAGCATTTAAACTGGTTAAAAAGTCTCATAATTTTCAACATTTGATCGAATATAAAAATCACAGGCTAAATTAAGGAAAACAATAAGAACAGCAAAAAGGATATATTGGAGAAATTTTTGTGACAAAATTGGTAATAGTACAAAGATTGGGGAAGTTTGGGGAATGATCAAAAAAATGGGGGGAGATAGAAGAGAATGGAGTTATCCAATATTAAATAGAAACAGTATAATAGCAATAAATGACAGGGAAAAAGCTGATATTTTAGTAAGCACATTTATGGAGATTCATAGTGGGAAAAAATGATCAGATAAAGAAATAAAGGGGAGAGAGAAAACTAAAAGAGAAAATGGTGGAATTTTAAGAAGAAAGGAAATTATTAAGGATGAATTGATGAACGAACATTTCTCTATTGGAGAATTGAAAAGAGCTTTGGGTAGAACAAGAAATAGTGCTCCAGGTAAAGATGAAGTATGCTATATTATGCTAAGACATGTGAGTGATGATGTTTTGAAGAAGATATTAAATTTGTATAATAAGATTTGGAAAGAGGGAAGAATACCTAGTGAATGGAAAGAAGCGGTTGTTATTCCGATAAAGAAACCTGGGAAAGATCATAGTAATCCTGAAAACTATAGGCCGATTGCTTTAACATCTAATATATGTAAGCTGATGGAAAGGATGGTGAATGAGAGGTTAGTACAGTATTTGGAATCAAGGAATATAATTGCTCCGTATCAGAGTGGCTTTCGTAGAGGGAGAGGAACAATGGATCCAGTATTGTGTTTAGAAGATGATATTAGAAAAGCTCAAATTAATAAGGAAACTGTTGTGGCTGTATTTTTTGATGTGGAAAAAGCATATGACATGTTATGGAGAGAAGGATTAATGATTAAACTACACCAGATAGGAATAGGAGGGAGTATGTTTAACTGGATATGGGATTTTTTATGTGATAGAAATATCCAAGTTAAAATAGGTTCTCATGTTTCAAAATCGTGTCAAATAGAAAATGGAACTCCTCAAGGAAGTGTGATAAGTCCAACATTATTCTCGGTGATGATAAATGATATTTTTAATGAAATACCAGTTAGTTTTGGGAAATCACTATTTGCTGATGATGGAGCATTATGGAAAAGGGGAAGAAATATAGAACATCTTATTTTAAAACTTCAGGAAGGTATAGATATAGTAGGTAAGTGGGGAATTGAGTGGGGTTTTAAATTTTCAATTGAGAAGACAAAAGTAATGTTCTTTACAAATAAGAAAGTTAGAATTGATAAAAAATTATATTTATATGGAAAAGAATTAGAAACGGTTGATAGTTTTCGTTTTTTGGGAGTAGTCTTTGATAAGAAACTAACTTGGGAAAATCATATAGATCACATTATGGAAAAAAGTAAAAAGGTTCTTAACATTATGAGGTGCTTGACAGGATTGACATGGGGTACAAACTATGAATCACTTAAAAATATTTATGTGTCATTAATTCGATCTAGAATAGATTATGGGAGTGTGGTGTATGGATCAGCAAGCAAAACTAGGTTAAACAAATTGGATATTATTCAAGCAAGAGCTTTGAGAATTTGCTTAGGGGCAGTTAAATCTACTCCAGTATGTGCATTACAAGTAGAGTCAGGAGAGATGCCATTATGTATTAGAAGACAGCAGATCATGGTAAATTATTGGATAAGTTTAAAAGGACAAAATGAAGATCACCCAGTTAAGAAAGTGTTGCAACATTGTTGGGAGAGAGGAAAAGGGAAAAGTAATAGTTTTGGGTGGGTGGGAGATGATAGAGCAAAAACATTTAATGTATTTGACAAAGAATTCAGTCAAACAGTAGTATGGCCTGTGAGACCAGCATGGTCATGGAAATATATTAATGTAGACAAGACACTATTAGATATTCAGGGGAAAAAGATGATAGATATGTGCCAAGAGTTTTATCATCAAATACAAAATAAATATAATGATTATGTACAGATTTATACTGATGTTTCAAAAGATCCTAAAAACAAAGTAACAAGTGCAGCAGTAGTGATTCTAGATTTATATACAAAGATTTCAAAAAGAACATCTGATTACTTGAGTATCTATGCAGTAGAAATGTGTGCTATATTATTAGCTTTAGAATGGGTGGAGGATAGTAAAGAAAATACATTTATAATTTGTAGTGATTCACTATCTGCTTTGATGAGTATTGAAAAGGGATGTTCAAGTAATCATCAAAATATATTATATGAAGTTATGGCTGTTCATCATAGAATATGTGATCAAAATAAAAAGGTAATATTATTTTGGACTCCTGCTCATGTAGGTATTTTAGGTAATGAAAGAGCAGATAGGTTGGCTAAGGAGGCTAGTAAAAAAGAAGAAATTGATATGTTAGTAAAGCTATCGAAATCAGAGGGGAAAAGTATAGCTTGGAGAGAAAGTAAAAAGATATGGAAAATTAGGTGGGATAATGAAATAAATGGAAGGCATTTACACAGATTTCAAAATACAGTTGATGTAGAAAGGGTTAGAGGGTTAAATAGAAAGGTAGAGGTAATTATAACTCGAATAAGAACCGGGCATAGTTTATTAAATGGAACTCTTTATAAGATGGGGAAACATCCTACTGGTTTATGTATTTGGTGTGATTCTGTAGAAACAATGGAACATGTTTTATTTGTTGTAGAAAATATGAAAATGAAAGAAAATTATTAATATTGGAATTAGGCTGTACCAGGGAATTGAAGTTTGAAAAAGTGGTTGATCAGTTAAATAGTAATGAGGGGAGGAAGAAAATTTTGTGGTTTTTTAAAAAACAGTGGGATTATTTCGAGAATTTGTTAGATAATTAGGATCCAATAGATGGCAGTAGTGCAACAAAAATGGATGCAAGCTGCCGTTAAATCCTAAAGAAGAAGATGAAGTTAATTGGAGGGGCTATAAAACACACGGCGTTTTACGTTTCTGTAGTGACTGTCTATGTTTTTCATGCCTTCTCTGTGATCATGTGTGAAAAGCTGAGGAAGGTAACTCTTTGACTCCAGTAAACACACATTAATGCGCCAGCCGCATTGCTGATATTGTCTTATTTGTCTGTCTCTTCTACAGGTGAACAGCTGGTTGGAGGGAGTGTTTGGGGATCAGCCAGTGCCATTATTTGAGGTGAACACCAGGACTGTGGACATACTGTATCAGCTGGCTCAGTCCAGTGAAGCCCGCTGCAGTGATACTGCTCTCCTCATAGAAGACTACAAGCAGAAAACATCAGAGTATCAGGCTGACGGTGAGGCACATACAGCAGGCAGAACAGATGATGCATTAAAACACTTGGATCGGAAAGGCTGAATTGATCTAAAGTGTTTAGATTTGCCGAATGGCATGTTTTGCACATGTCGAAACTAATAGAAACTGAAGTAAATATTTTTTTATGGCTTAAGATATAGGTGTGGTTTTATATTTTGTTGTAGTATAGAGACAATCTCCAAATAGTCTCTATATCACTCCACTAAACGACATTAACGACTACTATTGAAGTATTTAAGGTGAATATTTTGTGCTCAGATGTCGAAATTGTTATTAAATTGGAGGGAAAATAGAAATCTGAGTTTAGAAATTGTATGGAGTTTCAAAATAATAAACACATAAGAACTCTTTTGTCTGGTTTTCAATGTTTTTCAAAAAACTGTATTTCACTAATCCCATCCCCCCTAGCTGCTCACCTTGAGGATGTTCTTCTGCACGGTGTCGGCTTGTCTGGGGCAAGCTTGTCAGAGCCGACTGCAAACTACGTGTCTGCTTTAGTGGACAATGCTATGGTGCTGCGAGTGAAAGACACATCACTGACCAGGTAATTTTCTGTGGCTTTGTATTTCATTGATCAGAATATATGGTTGTTTTACTTTTGTTCGTTTGTAGCTTCATGCCAGCAATCAACAATCTCACCGATGATCTTCTGGAAGTCGAGAAGTCAAACAGAAAACTCGAAAGGGAACTAAGGGCACTCCAAAAAAGACTCGGTTCAATTCTGGTGCTGCGGGGAAACCTACAAGAGTAAGAATAAGGCGTGAAGCGAGCGATTAAAAGTGTGCCAGTTAAGTTTGATTAGAAGGCTGGGTTTACACATGTACACATTGGCGGTCTTCATTGACAGGGATATCGACAAAACTACCAAATCTCAAGCAGTGGAGAGTGCAAAAGAAGAGGAGAGGCTGCTCAACGTGGACTTTGTGACGGCCAAGACTCAAGAGCTCCGTATCAGACAGCAGAGGTTGGAGGTATGTTGCAGCATATTCCTCTTTATAATTTGGGATTATTGCATAGATGCTGAGGTACTAAGTGGGATCATTTATAGGCCATTTTGTGATTTAAACAGCAAAACGCATTATCTACAGATGGTAACCTACTTGACTCTTGACAAAATATGATTAACTTCTCCACATTTAGACTCAGAAAAAAATTTCTAATGTGTATACGTCAAGATAAGAAGCTGCTGCTCAGATTTAGAAAGAAGCTTCATTAAAAAAAAAACATATTATTTTTTCCTGTAAATGACCAAACAGTTTAATTTCTGTTTACCTAGTTGCAATGTCGTCTGCCTCTTGTTTAAAACAGAAACAGTGTTTAGTTTGTTAGTTTGTTGTTTGTCTTGTATTAGTCACTTTATTCTGCTCTGCTAATCCTGCAGGCTCAGCTTATCCAGGAACATGGACAAGTCTATCACCCACCAGGCCATTGTGCAGCTTTCTGAGGTATTTCAGCATTTTCACCACATTCATTGCCATGGGGATAGAAGCTTTACTTTGTCTGCATTCAGGGTTTGAAACATGTCATCTTATTTTTCTCCCTGCAGGAACTCAGGGCACTGCAAAACGAAATAATCCTCCTGAAAAAGAAGCTGGAGTCGTACATGGACCAGAGTCCGGTACGTTTGTTTTCTAGTTTTTCAGACTTCATTACTTTTCCAACAAAAGGGGTGATCACGTTTCCTGTTTTGTCCTTTGAAAAGAAAAAATCATTCAATCTAATTTATTTAAGGATTAAGTTTGTGAATTTAATCTTGAAATGTGTGTTGTTGTTTTTTTATTCTAAACCTTCAGAGCCCATCTCTTGCACAAGTGAAGATAGAAGAAGCAAAAAGAGAACTAGTGAGTCTTTAAATATTTGGTTTTATAACATACAAGATGCCATTTTTTGCTCGTTTGTCATTTTAATTACTTTTTCTTTCGTTCATTTTTCAGGTTGCACTCGATTCCAAACTGGAGACAATGAAGAAATTGTAGTTGATGAAGTTGGATGTTGCGCAGTCCTTTCTTTAAAAATAAAGTTTTTGCAGTCATATTTTTTCTTCTTCTTTTCTACCTTTACCTGCCTTCATCATTAATGTTAAATGAAAAGTGGTTTGAGGTATTTTGGGTCACCTGAAAGGATACTTCTTGCTTCTTTCCTCCTTAGCTTTGGAACCTTATTTAAATATAGGTTAAATATTTCAGAGATTTTGGACACTCCTAAAAAGCTCACAGAGTATCCCTATTAGTTCATACACCTTGAACATTTTTATATTGTACAACCTGCATAACTAACTTATTTTGTTTTGTATGTTTACCAACAAAAACATTGTTTGCATGCTTGTCAGTGTCTAGAAATGGGTAAAATTTCTGATATGATTTTTAGCTTTTTTATTTTATGATAAAATAATATACTGCTAATGTGTACCTGAATGTTTAGTCTCTCTCCACGCCTTCCTGTTTGTTTCAAACATCTGCAACACTAATGCAATGTTTGGCTTTTCCTCTCTGATCGCAGCAATCTAATTAAGGGGTTGGTCTTAAGAGTTGTAAAAAATAGTTCTCACAGATTATATCCAAACAACTTTCAATCTGTGTGGACAACCTCATCAAATGCAAGTTCTTTGTTTTGTTTTTGTAAATGTATTTTTGTCCAGCTGCTTATCATTTCTCAGCCCTTCTGGGATCCAAATAAGTTTTCCTCTTCCATACTTCTTGGATTTTCTTCTCAAAACCTCAGTATTTTTTACACCCATTTGCTTTAATGTAATTTCTTCAATGTCTGGCCAACAAGTCTAAAGGTAAAGGAAACCTTTAGAGATTCACAATAAAATGGTACTGGCTTTGGGGTATAATGTCACATGGAATTAACGGTGGAGCACTTTGTGCCTGAAGCAAAAGCAGACATTAGAATCAGTCTGTTCTGTCTGCATGTAAAATATCCCCTCAGCGTTTCTCTGCCTGTCGGTTTCTGTCCTCTGGAGTGGAGCAGAGCCTGGACACCTCAACGGTTTCTGTCAGCTTGACTGGTGTAGGACCTGATCTGCAGTCTGACATGGAGACTGAGCCGTTACCATGGAGTGGCCACAGATGCTTACTAGAGAGCAGTGTTTCCCACTGGGCCCCCCAGCTTGGATGAAAAGAACCATTTGGTTAGAATACCAACAGTTTTTAAAAAAAGAAACAATCTGGCAATTTATTCAAAAAGGTTACATTTGTTTTACTCCTGGGTGACTCTGTTTACCTATATTTTCCAAGTAATGTGAACGCTTAAATGTGTAAGCATAACTTATTTTTATGAGTATTGCTTAATTGACATAACTCATAAATTGTAGTAGTCATAATTGACATTTTATAGTCAACTTTACTAATGATTTTGAGTTAATCAAAATCAGGTTTACTGCCATTATCTGAGTGGTGTAAACATTTATAGCTATAACACCTTATAATGAATTAGCTACTTTACTTGGAGATTTTGAGGCAATCGGTTTCCTAACTTTTTTTAAGTAAAGTGAACTTATTACATTTTACAGTGTGGACAAAGAAAAATGTTGAAACAAATAATATGGCCTTTAGAGACAGAACACAAATCATATAAATTGTCTTAAATTCCAGTTGAATTAGTTAAAATGTTTTAAGTGTGGGCCGGTCATCAGTGGACAGTAAAGAATCCAGTTGTAATGAAATGTTTTCCTTTTCAAACCTCATTAGAAGAACAAATTTGTCTCTAATGCTAAACTTGACTGGTCTGGTTTTTAGACTTAAATGGCAGCTATTTATTTATTTATTAAGTTTTACAGAAAAAGAAAACCATATCTACTCAACTTTCATTTATTCAATTATTTTTCCATTTGCAACAACAGCATAAAAAAGAGTATTTAGGTTGTTGGTTCTGTTCTGAAAATGGAGGTTTAATCATGACGTAAATACAAATTGTTGCGAAAACAATAACTGATTACTACAGCTGCACTTTATATATTGAAATAAACATTTAATTTGAACCGTTAAATCGTTTTAAGTGAATTGGGATAACTACAATTTTTTAATCTGCTGTATTTCTTTAAATTCACATTCATTTTCTTCCTGGAAGGTTGGCAGGTTAGCTCTGTTCATCAAACACTTTTTGCAGTTCTATCTTCTATTGCATCTAAGTTAAACAGAACCCTAGATGTAATTTGTGTGAATGAAAAAGAACACATATTACATTTGTTTACATCTGTTTTTCTAAGCAACCAGAATGTCTTCTTTCATTTAAGTAAATTGCCATAAGCTATGCTTCTTTCTGAATTTTTTGATTTGATGTAGGCTCTTGTTTTGTACTTATTTTCACAAGATTGAGACAGTTATATCAAAAATATGGGAAAAAAAGACAAATTAGAAGGATGAATTGTTGGATGTTGAATTTGATATTTATGCATTTGTGGTTAAAACTGGGACAAATAGGGATGAGTTGCACAATTTGGAAATTAGTTTTCTCAGTGTGGGTTATTTGCTCATCTTTTGATCAGCCCACTTAGTAAAACATAAAATCCAGGGTTTTTTTTTCTTTCAATCCAATGAAATAATTTGTTTTGTCACAGTACAATCACACGTGCATGATACAAATGAGATTGTATGTAACAAACACAAGGTGGTGAATGGTTGGGAAAGGAATAAAAAATGTTTTTCTAAATATTTTACAAATGCATTCCATACAATAGTCAGTTGCAGACCAGACTACTGGTTAACTTTAACCCATACTATACAGTGCTGTGGTCATATAGATGCACAGATAATGATCGTAAAAGTCCAAAGAACAACTAAGAGATCCAGTAAATCGTTGAAAACCATTTTAAAGTATTGCAAGAGGCAAAGCATAAAGGAATTGGAAGTTGTTGAAACTTTTGTACAGTACAATTTAGAAGCAAACATAAATATCAAACTGTGACTGTGTGTTTTTGTAAAAATTGTGCCTGAAATGTGAAGGAAGACGTAAAATAAGAAAGTCAAAGAGAGGGAAGCCTAGGAAGTATGTATGCGCCTTCTGGAGGGATAAAGAGGGGGGGGGGGAAATCATGCGTCACTCTAGCGCGAGCTGCCCGTGTTCCCTTTAAAATAGTTTTATGTGCCACTCCCACTCCATGATTCCCACTCAGCTGTTACTGTAAATCGCTCCCAGTTCCCACATGGTGCTATCCATTCACAAATCCGCGCAGGAAGACTCGATTGTTGCCATGAATCGGATTGATCACCTCGTCCGTCACCTGTGAGCAACTTGTTGCGCAGCTGCTATTTCCTCTGTGGTCCATCGCCGCAGCCAGACAGCCGCTGCTTCTCTACGACAGAAACACTGGAGCTGCTGATCTGCGTCTCAGCGTCCGGGGTATTTTCTGGCTCTCAGGGAGGACAGCTGGATGACTTTGTGTGAGCGACCGACTTTCTTTATTGGAGTTAGAGAGATGCAGCCGAACGCCGCGGCCTTGCGGGATCTTCCCAGCCAGCACACCTAGGTGGGCCCCATATGGGATATAAGTGGGCAGGCAATATGGGTCCCAAAAGGGTTTGTCCACGGTTTCCATGGTGGCCCCACATGGTTTGCCCAAGTAGATTTTAATGGGTGCTGACTGGGTTTTCAGTGGGTCCCACATGGTTAACTCACATGAGGCCCATCTGTGGCCCACTAGGGTGCTGTCAAGAATATTTACGTGGGTCCCAATTGGGTCTGAACTGGGCTAGAATATGGGTAACAAGTGGGTTTGTCCACGGTTTCCATCGTGGCCCCACATGGTTTGCCCAGGTTGATTTCAATGGGTGCTGACTGGGTTTTCAGTGGGGCCCATGTGGTTAACTTACATGAGGTCATCTGTGGCCCACTAGGGTGCTGTCAGGAATATTTACCTGGGTCCCAATTGGGTCTGAACTGGGCTAGAATAGGGTAACAAGTGGGTTTGTCCACGGTTTCCATGGTGGCCCCACATGGGTTTGCCCAGGTTGATTTCAATGGGTGCTGACTGGGCTTTCAGCGGGACCCAGATGCCTTAATCCTGTAGGAACAATTCTCATCTAACCTGGATGTGAATTACATTCATAGATATGCAATCTTGATCAACAATCCAAAGTCTAGCTTAAAACGTGTTCAAATAAAAAATAAAAAAAAAGAGATGAAAATTTATTTTGCTCAAGGCTTTTATTTAGTAATTTAAAATATTGTCAGGAGTTATTTTTTACCTCACTACAGCAATTATTAGAACTTCATTAATACTCAGGGAATGGTGCCACAAAAGAAATCTGCAATTATTCACGACATCTTTGAAAAATAACAGAAGCTAGTTTACTATAACAAACGTTATAAACAGATCTATAATATATATCTATAGATGCACACAAATAAAGACACCTACATATTTTCCTACAGGTCTATAAATGTATACATCTAAATACTATCTATATAACTTTATACACGTATATTCACATTGATACACACAATGTGAATATACACACCTATATAGATCTTTCACAATACATTTTTGTCAAACATTTTTAAAAATAACCTACATGCCATATGCATGCTTAAATTTGAAATCTCTCATACTTTACTGAAACTGTCCATCTTGAAAGACCTCCCCAACCTGAGTTTGAAACTGGCAGTCTCTCTAGTCTATTTCCACTTCCACTCGGGCTCCAGTAAACCACTTCGAGAGTCTTTGCTGTATGCTTGTGTGATTCTGTAGATGGATAATTTCTTTTAAGTCTCCTGAAATAACAAGCAAAGGTAGAAATTGTATTAGTGTTTCATTTTAGCACAATGTAACATTCATGAGATTTGCATCTCCCCCTTCATGGGGCAAAAATGCTTGCAGAGATATGCCATAATCAAAAGGACTCTTGAGTCATCATTATTATGTACAGAAACTATATTCTTACTGTAAATTTAAAATATATCCATCTATATAAATCAAACTACTAGGTTCTATCGTGGTTTTGTGGTTATTTTAATATTGTTTGAAATGCAAACAATATTACCTTCAAATTTTTAAGTTCTTAACAACAGTGAAAGAATACTGTTCAAATAAAACCAAAAATGAAGACTCAATTTTTAACCTAAAAACATTACTAAAAATAACAAACAAAAGCATAAAACATATGTTAAACATATGTTAATAAATTAACATATGTTTAAGAAAGAAAAGTGAAAAAAAAAAGTTACTCTGACAATAAAAACTGATATTTACCATACAAAACATCAAAGAGACGCAGGTCCAAGAGCTTGTTTCCAATGTTGGCCAAAAAGGTTGAACTGGACTTCCAGTTCATGGGACATGAGGAATCGCACAGCTGGTTGTATTGTCATCTAAGGATGCTCCTCCAATTTCTGTAGCCATGGCAACCTTAAGTACAATGACAATAACAGGACAACATTTTGTTTTTGTTCATCAGTTTGTCATTATATCACTCTTATGTGCTTAATTTTACTAACATATTAATCTACCTTTTTCAAATCATTATAAAGTGATCTTCACACGCTGATCCTCTTGAAGCCTGCAAAATATATATTTTATTAGTGCAATATAACATTTAGACTTTTCAAAAAATAAAAAAATTAAGGCAAAACAGCCTTTGTATAGATTAACTACTGAAGCCTTATATTGTAAACACTGAACAGTTTTGCAATTATCCTAATTTCTTTGTTAACGTGACAGGACTAAGACAGTAGTATTACTCTTAAGAGAAGTTTAGAAAATCACTATAAATGTAACTAATAAAGCCTAAAACATTGCACATATAAAAAAATTAGAGCTACAATTAAATATAAGTACATTTCACATAACTGCTAGCTAAATATTGCAAAAATATCAAAAGAATTTCTCATCTTTCAAGATTTGTTTCAGGCTTGGCCACTGATTGACATGATGGGTTTCAATTTACGGACCCACATGCAGTAACCACACGTTGGATAGGGATGAGTGAGTGATTTATTTACAAACAGGACAAAATAAATCTATTTCCCGGACATCAGCGGAAGGGTGAGGACCACTCGACCAGGTTGGCCTGAAACGAGAACTTAGTTATGACGGGCTTAGAATGAGTGATCGGAGGGGAAACAGGAACAGGCTTACTTCGGTGCGGGTCTTTCGAGGCGTGGGTGTGAGATGCCAGGTTCCTGAGAGAGGGTGTGCAGCGGTTCCGAAGGTAAATGCGAGGTGGGAATGGAAGAGAGCTGGAAGCTCGAAGGGTGGAGTGGAGGCAGTGGAATCGGCGGAGCGAGCAGGCAGGTATTCACTGGTGAGTTCTCGAATGAGGCGACAAAACCCCTAGGATCGAACAAACACAGAGACCAGGTGACTTCTAGTAGACACAGAAACGTTCTCAGAAACTGTTCACAACAGGAGAGGCCAGAGTGACTACCGGTGTATGCAACCATCTAGCATACACCAGTAGAATCTTCAGTCAATCTAGCGTAGACTGAAGATTCTGCTGCTCCTCCACCTGTGCCAAGCTCCACGGGCTCCTCACAAAGATCCTCGCTGAAATAAGATGCGACACTCACATACACACACAGGAACCCTGACACTGATGACTACTCTAGAAGACCAACACAATAGCGGCAGATTGAAATAAACTATGACATAACAAAACGCTTTAAAGTGTCACACAACAATTAAAAAAAGAATTTAAAAATATGAACTACAATGCCTTCATCCTATTTACAAAAAACCTTTAGGCCCAATATACTGAAACCACATGGGCCCCATATAGTGTTCCCATTTCTGTCCCATGCCCAGTTAGCCCACGTTAATGCTGAATTGGGCCCATACATTTAACCCAATTGAGCCAACAATATGAGTCCCATTTCGGTTAACCTTTTGAGCCTCACGCAGTTGGCCCAGATAAAACCCATGCCCTCTTATCATTACCTATATAGCCCAAAGCTAAACGATTCAATGCAGTTTTATTGAAAAAAACGACAATAATAATCTTGCATGGGTCCCAGCCAAACCAGCCTGAATCCATACATGAGACCCACCCATGCATGCTGATGTGACTGTGAGAAAGATTATTAAAAGCCCAGTACATAGAATGAAAGCACAATAGTTACTCTTTTTAAATCATACAAATGTTTATTGTGTCCAGACACTTTGTAACAACCTCTGCTAGCAACATAGATTCTTCAGTGAACCGATTTCATTCTGCCTCGTTGGCGCTCAAATGAACCAATGGCAGCTCAACAAATAGAATGGCGGCGGTATTTGAAAATGTTTGGCCCACAACGCTGCGTTTGAAATCGGTCTGCACTAAAATCTGCTTATTGTGTGTAGCTGTGTGTGTTAGCAATATCAGAAAAGTATCACCCTAAAGAAAAGCAAAAATAACAATAACAATTAAGCCTCTTTTGGGATACTGTCGTCCGATTTGTTACGAGCAACAATTTTTTTTAACAAGCGATTTAAAATCTCTCCCTAAAATTTGGTACTAGGTAAAACAGAAGAAATGTACTTACAGATTCTTCGTAGATCAGCCGGCAGGACTCCGCGCCAACGGACTGATGAAGAGAACAGGCTTGATTTTGAAACCCCATATCCATCCGCGGGTCATTTTACGTTTTCCAAGAAACACAAGATTAATTTTTGAGAGTGCTACATCGGTTTAACAAATGTAAAACCGATGTAGCAAAAGTTCTCAATGTAAATAAAATACATTTCGTTGTCCTCCTTATTCAAATATGTTTTGGAACTATTTTCTTCAGTGGATGTGTAAAGTGCCTACCGGTACTTCAATTCACCAACCTTTATTGGCAACGGTGCCTCAGAGCAAACAATGAACAAAAAGGTAATTGGAACCAAATGAATCATTAACAGAAATGTTACGTTTTTTTATTTTTTATTTTTATTTATACTGATGACTTGGAAAATGTTTGCAAATATATGAAAAACAGATGCTCAAAATTTTACTCTTGTCTCTCACTTGCTAATGAGTTTTGTTTATTTTCTAAACATTTTGTGATATTTTTCACAATGGTCTGATCTGAACTATTTGTCCAAATAAAAATTTAAATCTTGCTGCGAACAGGCTGCAGTAAACTCTATGGATGTCTTTGATAAAAAATAATAATAAAAATAAAATAAAAAGTTATTATTATTATTAAAAATAAAACAAGGACTAAAGCTCAACCATGACCACTCTGTGCTTAATTTTGAGTAAGCACCAGAATATGAGTTTACGTATATATTTCAAACAGATTATTTCAAAAAATGTTTTAAGACATTCAGACTGCAATAATAAAATGAAAAAAAAGTTAGGGGTTCAAAGTGTAGCAAGAGCAATACTGAACTGGCTTTTGCTTTGACATACAGTGAAAAGTTTGAAAGTGACAGGGTAACCACATTGTCGATTAAAATGTTCTACAATTTTGTCCCATTTAGACCATGAAAAAAAGTACTAGGGGCTACATTTTCCTGCCCAGGTCCAACCCATGTATGGTTAGCCCATGCTCATGTCATGTTAGTTTAATGTGGACAGCCCACATTGGGCTTTCATGTGGGGCCCATGATACTGAAACCACATGGGCCCCAAATAGTGTTGCCCATTTCTGTCCCATTTCCAGTTAGCCCACATTGTTGCTGAATAGGGCCCATACATTTAGCCCAAATGGGCCAGCCCATAGGGGTCCCATTTTAGTTAACCATATGTGTCCCAGGAGGTTTGCCCAGATAAACCCATGACCACTCATTACCCATATGGCCTACTACAAACCCAAGGGGGCCCACTCATGCGTACTGGCTTGGAGACTGGACTGGACTGTTCTAGCATAAAATAATAACATGAAAAAATGTTAAGGGTTCAAAGTGTGGCTAGAGCAATACTGAACTGTTTAAAAAAAATAAAGCATTGTAGAATTATTTTTAATGTTTTAATATCCTGGTCCTCTGGAAGCCTAGTGTTTGTAAATGAGCCAGGCATAGATATCACACAGTGAACATGTTTTAGGTTCAAACATTAGGAAGACATGGATGTTCTGTTCTATCAGCAAAATATATCCTTGGGTGATCTCCAAGACGAGGTCACCTTCGTCCTGGAGACCTCGACAATGGTCAAGGTCACCAACCTTTACTATCGTCGAGGTTTCCTACAAGGAAAAAATTCAATTCTACAATCTACCATACATCAACTCCATTAAGGCCCACTGAGTAATTGCCTTGGCAAAGATCACAATGCTGACATCTCGGGTAATTTCCAAGTTTTGAGAATCCTGCTCTTGCAGCATTTGCTTTGACATACAGTGAAAAATTTGAAAGTGACAGGTTAACTACAGGGGTTGGACAATGAAACTGAAACACCTGGTTTTAGACCACAATAACTTATTAGCGTGGTGTAGGGCCTCCTTTTGAGGCCAATACAGCATCAATTCGTCTTGGACAAGTATGGGGCCAAGGGAATGCCATGATATGGCAGCCCACACCATCAATGATCCACCCCCATGCTTCACTCTGGCATACAACACTCTGGCTGGAATGCATCTTTGGGGCTTCTCCACACCGTAACTCTCCCGGATGTGGGGAAAACAGTAAAGGTAGACTCATCAGAGAACAATACATGTTTCACATTGTCCACAGCACAAGATTTCGCTCCTTGCACCATTGAAACCGACGTTTGGCATTGATACGAGTGACCAAAAGTTTGGCTATAGCAGCCCGGCTGTGTATATTGACCATGTGGAGCTCCCGACGGACAGTTTTGGTGGAAACAGGAGAGTTGAGGTGCACATTTAATTCTACCGTGATTTGGGCACCGTGGTTTTATGTTTTTGGGATACAATCCGGGTTAGCACCCAAACATCTCTTTAAGACAGCTTCGTCTTGCATCCACAGTTAATCCTGTTAGATGTGGTTCGTCATTCTTGGTGGTATGCTGACATTACCCTGGATACTGTGGCTCTTGATAATCACAAAGACTTGCTGTCTTGGTAAACAATTTGCCCTCTATTGAACTCCAGTATGTCCCAAATAATGTTATGTGCATTGCAATATTTTGAGCAAAACTGTGCTCTTACCCTGCTAATTGGACCTTCACACTCTGCTCTTACTGTTGCAATGTGCAATTCATGAAGATTGGCCACCAGGCTAGTCCAATTCAGGCATGAAACCTCCCACACTAAAATGAGAGGTGTTTCAGTTTCATTGTCCAACCCCTGTACATTGTTCTACAATTTTGTCTCATTTAGCCCACTTAAAAAAGGACTGGGGTCTACATATCCACACCAGGTCCAACCTGGGCGTGGATATGTACTGACCACACTGAACCCACAGTGGGTTGACCATATATGGGTCAACCCACTGTGGCCACACTGAACCCACAGTGGGTTCAGTGTGGTCAGCCCACATGGTCTCCCCATGTTGGGCCCATGACATGAGCCCATGCTCATGTCATGTGGGTTCAGTGTGGTCAGCCCACATGGTCTCCCCATGTTGGGCCCATGATACTGAAACCACATGGGCCCCACATAGGTTTGCCCAGTTCTATCCCATTCCCAGTTAGCCCACTTAAAAAAGGACTGGGGCCTACATATCCACACCCAGGTCTAACCCATATATGGTCAGCCTATGCTGATGTCATGTGGGTTCAATGTGGTCTGCCCACATGGGCTTCCCATGTTGGGCCCCATGATACTAGAACCACATGGGCCCCACATACTGTTGCCCAGTACTATCCCATTCCCAGATAGCCCACTTAAAAAAGGACTGGGGCCTACATATCCACACCCAGGTCTAACCCATATATGGTCAGCCTATGCTGATGTCATGTGGGTTCAATGTGGTCTGCCCACATGGGCTTCCCATGTTGGGCCCATGATACTGAAACCACATGGGCCCCATATACTGTTGCCCAGTACTATCCCATTCCCAGATAGCCCACTTAAAAAAGGACTGGGGCTCCATATCCACACCCAGGTCTAACCCATATATGGTCAGCGCATGCTGATGTCATGTGGGTTCAATGTGGTCTGCCCACATGGGCTTCCCATGTTGGGCCCATGATACTGAAACCACATGGGCCCCATATACTGTTGCCCAGTACTATCCCATTCCCAGATAGCCCACTTAAAAAAGGACTGGGGCCTACATATCCACACCCAGGTCTAACCCATATATGGTCAGCCCATGCTGATGTCATGTGGGTTCAATGTGGTCTGCCCACATGGGCTTCCCATGTTGGGCCCATGATACTAGAACCACATGGGCCCCACATACTGTTGCCCAGTACTATCCCATTCCCAGATAGCCACTTAAAAAAGGACTGGGGCCTACATATCCACACCCAGGTCTAACCCATATATGGTCAGCCCATGCTGATG